CATTAGTTGTTTTCGCTCTGTCTTTTAAATTATTCATCAAATCGCGAACCTCACTTTTGGCAGCATCCGCAGGATGATCATGGTCGAATTTTGGTTGTTGAACAATAGAATCATCAATATTTAATGTATGAATGCGAACGTTACATTTTTTTGACCAATAATCTTTACATTTCCAATATGTTTTTCCTCCGGACTTGTTTTCAGTTACATATTCATAACCATTAAAACGCAGTAAACGTTTGCATTTAGTAGTTGATAAAAAACTAGCCATACTTATAATGAAATTATTATTATTATTACGATTATTACTATTATTATTAGTATTATAATTCAAAAATGAAAGCAACAGACTAAAAACAATGACAGTGATAGAATGTCTTGCTTTTAAGCATAACAAACAGTATGATATGTGTGCATAGAGATGAATTTTGAGACGCCGCCGTCGAAAAATTCGACCCTTATTCATAGTACTTTTTCAGTTATTCTTGTGCGTCTATTTACTTTATGGTTATCGTTCAGTTATCTAGGAAAATTCATGCGATGAAAAACCTTTCGGTGAAAAGTCGCTCGACGAAAAGTCCATGCGATGAAAAGTCCGTGCGATGAAAAATCTTTCGACGAAATGTCGTCGATGAAATGTCGTTCGATGAAAATACGTTCGATGATTTGTCGTTACCCCCTAATTACTATATCGACGGTGGCGTATCAAGTTGAAAACTTTATCAGCGGCGTGGGGGTAAATTGAAAAACATATTTTCGTCTTTGGTGGCGACGGCGTGGCTAACACCTCTAATTATGCTGCAGGTGGTTAGTTTCTATCTTGTGTCACCATATAAAATTATATGAAACTTTAACGAGAATAACCCTTTATTAATTTTGTAGGTGAGATTGACACATTGAATGAAAAATATCAGGCACATGTGTACATTGAAGCACGATGGTTATCCGATTCAGCGAAGTTAAGATTAACAACTGATCAATATCGCCAACTAAACGAGGGAAAATTTATAACCATATTGAAATATAACGAAACGAATTGGACTCCTGAACTGTGCATTGAAAACTCAATTGGCGAATTGAAAGAAGTGTTACGTTATACGCTGAAGAAGAGTAACAGTCAACAAGATGGTCAACTAATTGAAATATGCGAACATCGTGATATTAAAGGTGCCTTTTGGGAAAAGTTAGAA